CATAAGATTGGGGGGGGCAAAGAAAAGGGAGCAGAGTATAGGCTAGTGGGCAAAAACTACAACCTCACTCAGGGGGAAAGACCTTGGGTACCAAAACCGAGCACATCACCGGGGGGAAAAATCAACCAAATAACCCCTGCAAAACTACGGCGCCTGGTAAACCTGAGAATAGCGTTCCGATACCTTAATAAGGAATTGTTCAAGACACTGTACACTGTGTATGTTAGGCCCATACTGGAGTATGCAGCACCAGTCTGGAACCCACACCTGGTCTAAGCACTTCAAGAAGTTAGAGAAAGTACAAAAGGTTTGCAACAAGGCTAGTCCCAGAGCTCAAGGGAATGTCGTACGAGGAAAGGTTAAGGGAAATCGGACACTGACGACACTGGAGGACAGAAGGGTCAGGGGAGACATGATAACGACATACAAGATACTGCGGGGAATAGACAAGGTGGACAGAGATAGGATGTTCCAGAGAGGGGACACAGGGACAAGGGGTCACAACTGGAAGCTGAAGACTGAGACGAATCACAGGGACGTTAGGAAGTATTTCTTCAGTCATAGAGTTGTCAGCAAGTGGAATAGCCTAGCAAGTGAAGTAGTGGAGGCAGGAACCATACATAGTTTTAAGAAGAGGTATGACAATGCTCAGGAAGCAGAGAGAGAGAGGACCCAGTAGCGATCAGTGAAGAGTCGGGGCCAGGAGCTGAGTCTCGACCCCTGCAACCACAATTAGGTGAGTACAATTAGGTGAGTACACACACAGTGCCTTTTTTTTTATTGTTCTCATGTCAAAAGATAGACTGGCTCAAAGTCATCATGCAAAAAACCTTAACATGTACTAGGTGGTACTGCTGTAACTTCTGTATCTTCTCATTCACATCCTAAGAAACATGCTAACTAGAAACCATTTTTCCTAGAAGAATTACAGTAAAACCTTGGTATAACAGAACCTCTATGCAATGGATATTGAATAAATGGCCAAAAAAATCTGGCCAGTGAAAGGCTTGGTAAGTCTGCTGCACAGGGTTATCTGGTAGAATTATCAATGCAGTGGACCAAGTCCACTGGAATGCACAGTTGTCCATAACAGAGGTGTCCAGCAGTACCACCAATGAAGCAGACTTGGTCTGCTTCATCACAGGTTTATCCAGTATGGCTATATTATTTGGTGTCCAAGTTTCCCTGTTCAGTGTTACAATATAACAATGGCCTCTAAAGTACGTGATGGTGCCAAGAAGAAGCATTTGAATTTTTAAGAACTGAGTGTTTTCCAGACACTATCTAGGAACTTGATTGCCGTCATCCCAGCTTCCTTTGTATACAACCATAGTTGTGTCACATTTCTAGTAAGCACAAAGAAGCAACTTTTGCTGGGTTCCTGGATGAGCTGAAGTTCAGGATAATGAACACTCAGACTCAGCCACTCAGTTATCTCTTTGCAAACTACCAATTTCTTGCAGGGGTATTCCTTTCTCAGACTATTTGTCAGGGCTTTTTTAACAACTACGAAACTGCTGTCAGCAATGTTGGTCTGTGTTAGAATGTGACATTGTTCCCTATCAAATCACAATTGAGTGTCTGGCCATCTTCCAACCACTGTCTAGTTTGGGAATTACACTTTCACAGTTATGAATTAGACACTGAAGAATTACACATAGATTACTACATGAAGAAACACACACACCACCTATCTACAGGGACTGCTCCCCTTGATAAGGACGGACAACACACATACTGTCAAGACACCATCGCTACGGCGACACCTGACACATTAAGCTGTATAGCCCTTGTGGCTTAGCGCTTCTTTTTGATAATAATAATAATAATAATAATGATAATAATAATAATACAGGGACTGCCAAGTTGCACTGTCACTTTCCATATATTAACAGACAGTCCTGTATATCAGAAAATACCTAGAATTCACTAGGTTTTTTTTTTTTTTTAACAGACACAAACCTTTTGCACCAACTATAACTTTAACACACACAGTATTGTAAAGAGCCATCAACGTGTAATGGGGTTGTTTGCAGTTTTTCGTGGTGCTTAGTAACTACTGGCATGCTAGCACTCTTTTCATCAAACACTCACTTCACCCCCCTCTCCTCTTATCTCAGTTGTGCTTTATTATACCCACACTAACCCTCATCTCAACTAACCCCTACCCATAGTGCTGTATGATGCATATGGGTTTAGCACATTTTTTGTGCATAATAATAATAATAATAATAATAATAATAATAATAATAATAATAATAATAATAATAATAATAATAATAATAATGTTGAAAAGCAGGAGATGGAGATCATTTTGAGCCCAAATACTTTTGAGAAAAGTTGCCAGATAGTAGCTTTAATAAAAGTAGTGATGCTTTAAAGTCTCTCTCCCTCAGAGACATCATTTGTTGCATGTTTAACAGGAAATGTCCTAGTATATCAGACAGGAGTAGAGAAGGGTACAGCTAGACTAGTATTGGCATTACCAGAGGCATAGGTATGGTGTGCCTCCCTTCACTGAGTATTGATTGATCTCCATCTCCACCATCACCATATTAATATCAAAAGATCTCTGGGAAGATCAGTAGCTGAAGACGAAGATAATGCCATATACAGTTGACCCCCGCCTTATGATATTAATATGTTCCTGAGAGCTCATCGTAAGCTTAAATTATCATTAGCCGAATTAATTTTCCCCGTAAGAAATAATGGAATTCAAATTAATCCGTTCCTGACACCCCAGAGTATGAAAAAAAATTTTTTTACCACGTGAAATATTAATTTTAATACACACAAACTGAAGAAGACATGCACAATTACTACTCTGCTATGAATAGAATACATGACACTTACCTTTATTGAAGATCTGGTGATGACTGATGGGATGGGAGGAGGGGAGAGTGTAGAAGTTATTGTTTAGAAAGGGAATCCCCTTCCATTAGGACTTGAGGTAGCAAGTCCTTTTCCGGGGTTTCTTCCCTTCTTCTTTTAATGCTACTAGGACAAGCTTGAGAGTCACTGGACCTCTGTCGCACAACAAATCTGTCCACAGAGCTCTGTATCTCCCGTTCCTTTAAGACTTTCCTAAAATGGGCCATAACATTGTCATTGTACAGGTTGCCAACACGGCTTGCAGTAGTTGTGTCAGGGTGATTTTCATCCGTAAAGGTTTGCAGTTCAACCCACTTTGCTCACATTTCCTTAATCTCTTTTTTCAATTCCATACTAATTCTCGCCCTTTTTACCACAGGGATGGCACTAGAAGCTTTCTTGGGGTCCATGGTGACTTATTTTGCAGTTACAAGCACTAAAAACACTGGGATAATGTGAAATGTACCGAATGTATGCGTAGATGTGACCGCACTGGCTGGCTTGTAAACACTGGCGCTGAGGCCACACGTGGGACGCATCCCAGATGAATCACGTAAGGCGAGTTTTTTATCTTGAGGCGAGGCAAAATTTTTGCGTTCAAATGCTTCGTATGGCGGATTTAATGTAATGTGATGCGTTCATAAGGCGGGGTCCACTGTACTAGATGCGACTGAAAGAAGGAATCAGAGTCAGTTATTCACTGGAGCAATGGACAGGAAGGGCATCTTTAGAGATCAGGATTATGGGTCATCCAAAAATTCAAGATATTGTAGTAATCAGAAGGTGCCTTCTTGTTGAGGTATCACTTAGTGTACTTGTTGTATCCCTGTTTTTCATAAGAGTGCCTTGCACCCATCTGCCAACTCTCTCTCGTACAGAGTAATTTCATTGTACAAATTTGAAATTCTCCCTCTTCTTACTTCTTAAATAGTAGCAACATTTCCCCATTTACTATAATCTGTTTTTGCTTATAGTGTGTGACTTGATCTGAACTGTAACAAATATATTTTTCCTTGTGACATGACTGTTAATGCTGACTACTGATGCTGCCACTGCCATTAATGCTGCTATTCATTCATGCTGCTGGTGTTGCCACTGATGTTGCTAACTCTGCTCCTGCTGCTGACGTTGCTATTACAAGGCAAAGTCCACTGATGGTCCATCCTATAATGCAGGCTCTCTGATCTCTTGACTGCAACTAATTATCTGCATCACCTCAGGTCCCATTCCCCATATTTCTGCTGAAGTCCTCTCCTCAGTGCTTCCAGCTTTCATTCTCTGGTGTCTTTTTTCCCTCTGCCATGTGACAAACTTCACACTTTCCAGCAAAGAAGATTGTAATTGCTTAACTGGGAAGGTTAGTTACCCAGGATAATCCAACAAAGCCATTGTCATCAGGTTGTCTGGCTTATTTCCACTGGGGGCCCTTCAATCCTCTCCCAGGGTGCACTCCCACAACAGTCGGCTAACTCCCAGGTTCCTACTTACTGCTAGGTGAAAAGGGGCATCAGCTGTAGAGAAATATGCTCAGCATTTTCGTTTGTCTGGGGTCTGAACCCCATTCCCTCAGTTGTGACCTGAGGTCATTACCAATTGAGCCACAAACATTTTATGTAAGCTACCAGCACCTTATAAACATACTAAAAATAGTAATCAGCATGTTGTGGAGGTGAGTTATTGACACTAAACTTGAAAAATAATTACAGAATTTTTAGGGACTATAAGTTCCATGTATAAAGACTATTTTTTTCCCATTTACTATTAGCTGTGTGGTGAAATATTTCACCTTGATAATGTTAAGGGTTGGGCTGTAAAATTTTGTGTTCATTTCAAACTTAATGTTCAGGGGTTATTCCATCAAATTAATTTAAAAAAATAATAAAAAGAAGCATGAAGTATTTAATTTTAACAAAATGAGTCGGATTTTTTTTCAAACATTTTTCTTATCAGCAAAAGAGAGAGAGAGAGAGAGAGAGAGAGAGAGAGAGAGGCTGGCTGGGCTGGGCTGGGCTGGGCTGGGCTTGGCTTGGCTGGGCTTGCTTTGATTATTGCCCATTTTATTTTGTGCATTTATCTGTAATGTTTATTTGACTTCAAAAAATCATTACATATTATTATCTTTTAAGGTGATGAAGTCACAGCTCACCATCTGGTGGAAGCTGGAGACAATAGTGTTGGAGTGATGGATGAAATGGATGAAGATGAAAATACCCTGGAGGTCTCCTCCATGATAACACATGATGGTGGACACTCAATTGATCACACAACTCTACAAAATGAAGTACATTATGTTACAACAGATGAGTCGGGACACTCGGTCACTGTGGTGTACCCTCAGTCTGCTCTGCCTATGATCCGGACACCAGATGGAAGTTTGGTCAACTTTGTTGATCTTCCTGGAGTACATGGTGAACTGGGGCTAGATCAAGGGGAGTTGACAGGTGAAACAGGTATGGTGCTCCAACAAGATTTCCCCGGAGAAGGACCAATCACTGTGGTGACTGCAGATGACACCGGGGAGCAACTCGCTCTTCTAGATCAAGAACATGGCCACTCGACTGTCACCATGACCAGTGGGGAGGGAGCACAAGCCATCACTTACCTCACTGCTGCAGAGGATACTGGGGATGGGTCTGCTTCAGCCTTATTAGGTGAGCAACTAATTCAGATCCCTGCAAGTGATCAGTCAGGATCAGCACACACCATTACTCTGCCCCTCTCATTTCTAAATGATAGTGCTGGGGTTTCCATATTACAAGGGCTTAGCCATCTTCAGTTACCATTAGTAGGAGAGACTGGTGGAGATTCAATTACATTAACTTCTCCAGTTGACTCAGATAACATTGCTTCAGTCAGTGGTGCAGATGTGACACACAGTCAAGTTCTGTCAGTACTGCAGTCATCAACTATACCTACTACAGCCAGTGGGACATTCAATGTTATGACTTCTCAGTCTAGCATTCACAGTGATCACAATAGACTACCAACTACTCAACACCTTCATGTTCCAAATGCAACATCCAGATCTCATCATTCTTTAAGTACAAAGTCTGTCGTCCTGAAGACAACTAGCCCTTTATCAGGGAAGCAGAATTCTAGTCAGCAACCTCGAAAATTCCTTGGCACTGGTCCACTGGCTATATCTGCACAGGGTGTTGTTCAGAGGATTGGAAACCGGATGGTTACTGTCCTGCCACGTCCAGAAGATCTAAAAAAGTTGAAAGAAAGCAAATCTTTAATCGTAAGTGTCAAAGGTTCTGGTGATTCTGATCTTTATGGGTCAAAAAGTCCTCGAACCAGAAAAATCCCAGTGCCTGTACGACCACATCAACGCTATGGAAGGAGAGGCAGGGGAGTAGGACGAGGCAGACCATCCTCTGTGTCTAGAATTGATGATAGAGAAGATAATGACCAAATTGCTAAAACTATTTCACTTTTGAAGAAGGAAGCCCCAGGTGATTCTATATTGCTTGCTGAGACCTCTGGGGATCATCACTTGGATGGATGCATCAAATTGGAGGACTCAGGGAGTGAAGGCATTGTGGTAGACATGACTCTGCCAGGGGGGTCACCAGCATCGGCTGTACTGGTCAAAGGTCCACCGGAGGATGAGGAATATATTCTACCAGATTTAGATCCCACACTGCCAGTTACTTCTCGCCGTGGACGTCGTAAAAAGAGAGGTCGTGGGCGTCCCAGAGGGACGTATGTTATATCATCCACAGGTCGGAGGCCAGGAAGACCAAAGAAGGTACAGCACTATTTAACTTCTCTATTTGTGAATTTTTATTGTTGTGTAATTATTTGAACAAATTTATAATAGTTATAACAACATTTTTATTTCAAAAATTTAATTTTTAAATTTGTGATTAATAAATAGTAGTAATCTTCAATGATTAAAATGACTGTAAGATCCTGTTTTTCAACTGTCAGCATTATAATTAGTTAAATTTTCAAATTTTTCCTTAATGTGTCAGAGTCTGATCTAATAGTAATTATAGGAGCTTTACCTGGTGGCCATCTAACTCAGATCACTTTGGTATAATACAGTAGCTGGAATCCCTCACACTTAATTTCTTTATGCACTCCAACCTGCATTTACAAAAAATGTGTGACACTAGCCTTCCTACATGCTTTTGTATTCATTAAAATAGATTCAGTTACAAACAGCTTGTTTTTGTAAGTCAGAACCCAGGAGCAGAATTCGCTCATTAGTTGAGACCTTTATTTAGTACTGTATCTACAAGAATAACATCAATTCATTTACTGCATCAGCAAGTCATGCTATTACACACTTGACGGGAATGCATCAACTGAAAAATGTAATTATCTGATGTACTCCAGGTCCTGCATAAGTCAGAGAACAAGATCTTCACAGTGCAGTAACTCTTAGTACCTGATTGAAAAGAAAACAAATTTGAAAGGGATGTCAGTTTTTAACATGCGAAATACACTTTAATATTTCAAACAATTCAGGTTGAGACTCTGCTTGAAGGGCCTCATGGAGCTCGCATGATACACACTGGACCTGACACTCGATTGGATGGCCAGCATGAGGATCAAGGTTTGTTACTGTACAAATTTAAAGACTTCATTTGTCTTGCAGTTCTATAAATAACTTAAATTTTTAACAAAATGAAGAATGATACCAACAGTGTTAATTTACTTTAATAAAACTTATGTTAGACAATGCATTATCCAAGTAGATGATTAATTATATAAACTGTCTACTTATGTGAGTATATTTGTTTTAACTGAATAACAGTAAAAATAAACCAAGTTTGTGTGAACTGAATAATTTATTTACCATATGTTGAAAATTGTTACATGTTTTATAGAGAAACATGAAACATGGCAAAATGAAGTTATATGTTGCAATCTGAAAACTGGCTATGCAGTATTTTGTTGAATATTTTACAGAAAATGACTTGTCAGAAAATGTTCCAACAATTGAGCTAGCAGGTGTAGAGGGAAGTGATGGACTACAAGAGCTGCGAGTGTTAGAGATGGGGAATCTCAAGCAAGAACCACTTGATTTTGAGCTCAAGAAGGAAGAGGAAGTGGACCCTAACAAGAGGAAGCTACCGCCTAGACGAAGGGGATTAAGGTAATACACATACATCTGTTCTGGAAGTTTTTAGCACATTCTGCTGTTCGTTCCTACATGCATAAATGTGTTCATTGAGGCGGCTGTCGAGGTTTCTTGATGCTTCACCTACATAAATCTTGTCGCAGCCTCCACAGGGTATAGTGTAAACCCCTGCATTGACTGGTTCATGGTGCTTGGATTTTGTTCTGGTTAGATCCTTTATCGAAGTGCTGGAAGCGATGGCGACTCTGGTGTTAGCTTGTGAAAGTACTTTAGAAACGTTCAGTGTAACCTGGCTGTTGGGAAGAATTATAATGTTGTTGGGAGTGGTGTTGGTGCGTGGGGAATTAATGATCTGAAGAGCTCTTTTCTTGCAGTCTTTGATGAAAAAGGAAGGAAAATATAAATCTGTGAAGGTTCGGTGAATGTATGTACATTCCTCGTCAATTTTTTTTTTTAAATTCTTGGACCCTGTGGACATGTCTCAGACTTTGGGTCTGGACCCTGAAAGGGTTAAGGACATTTGTGCAAAGTGGAATGAAGTGCAAACTTTAATGGATGAACATCACCCTGACACAGCTGTTGCAGGCCGTGCTGGCAACATCTGCAATGACAGTGTTGTGTCCCATTTTAGGGAAATCTCAAAGAGACGCCAGAAACAGTTCTCTGGACAGATTTTTGGTGTGAGAGGGGTTCAGTGACTCTCAAGTTGGTCCTAGTGGCATTAAAAAAAAAAGAAGGGAAGTTTTTTTTTTTCTCAACAAACTGGCCGTATCCCACCAAGGCAGGGTGTCCCAAAAAGAAAAACAAAAGTTTCTCTTTTTAAATTTAGTAATTTATATGGGAGAAGGGGTTACTAGGACCTTGCTCCCGGCATTTTAGTCGCCTCTTACAACACGCATGGCTTACAGAGGAAGAATTCTGTTCCACTTCCCCATAGAGATAAGAGGAAATAAACAAGAACAAGAACTAGAAAGAAAATAGAAGAAAAGCCAGAGGGGTGTGTGTATATATATGCTTGTACATGTATGTGTAGTGTAACCTAAGTGTAAGTAGAAGTAGCAAGACGTACCTGAAATCTTGCATGTTTTTTTTTTTTTCAACAAGTCGGCCGTCTCCCACCGAGGCAGGGTGACCCAAAGAGAAAGAAAATCCCCAAAAAGAAAATACTTTCATCATCATTCAACACTTTCACCTCACTCACACATAATCACTGTTTTTGCAGAGGTACCCAGAATACAACAGTTTAGAAGTATATACATATAAAAATACACAATATATCTCTCCAAACTGCCAATATCCCAAACCCCTCCTTTAGAGTGCAGGCATTGTACTTCCCATTTCCAGGACTCATGTCCAGTTATATAAAATAACCGGTTTCCCTGAATCCCTTCACTAAATATTACCCTGCTCACACTCCAACAGATCGTCAGGTCGCAAATACCATTTGTCTCCATTCACTCCTATCTAACATGCTCACGCACGGTCGCTGGAAGTCCAAACCCCTCGCCCACAACACCTCCTTTACCCCCTCCCTCCAACCTTTTCGAGGACGACCCCTACCCCGCCTTCCTTCCCCTACAGATTTATACGCTCTCCTTGTCATTCTACTTTGATCCATTCTCTCTAAATGACCAAACCACCTCAACAAACCCTTTGACTAATACTTTCATTAACTCCACACCTTCTCCTAATTTCCACACTCAGAATTTTCTGCATAATATTTACACCACACATTGCTCTTAGACAGGACATCTCCACTGCCTCCAACCGCCTCCTTGCTGCAGCATTTACAACCCAAGCTTCACACCCATATAAGAGTGTTGGTACTATTATACTTTCATACATTCCTTTTTTTGCCTCCATAGATAACATTTTTTGCCTCCATATATATCTCAATGCACCACTCACCTTTTTTCATTCATCAATTCTGTGATTAACCTCATCCTTCATAAATCCATCCGCTGACACGTCAACTCCCAAATATCTGAAAACATTCACTTCTTCCATACTCCTCCCCAATTTGATATCCAATTTTTCTTTATCTAAATCATTTGATACTCTCATCACCTTACTCTTTTCTATGTTCACTTTCAACTTTCTACCTTTACACACATTCCCAAATTTGTCCACTATCCTTTGCAATTTTTCTTTAGAATCTCCCATAAGCACAGTATCATCAGCAAAAAGTAACTGTGTCACTTCCCATTTTGTATTTAATTCACCCATAATTTAATCCCACATATGATACCATGTACCCATGGTACATGGTATCATATGTTACAGGGTACCATTTGGTACACTGTACTATATGGTATAGGGTACCATACATGTAGACAGCCTGTGCTGTCTGCACAGACAGCCCATGCTGTCTGCCAGCTTAGTTCATATTTCGCGCCATGCTGGTGCTGCCACCTATAGGCGTTGCCACTTCAGCCTGCCTGCCCTTGCCTCACTCTCACTCACACAGCAGCCTAGCAGGAAGACACAAGGCCTAGTAGCTCCTCTCGTGGGATGGCTCTGCCCGGGCCATGGGCACAACACACAAGCCTGTGTCCCCACCACGACTTAACAATAAAGTAAAAAGCCTCCAAAGAAGTTTATCATTTGAACCCCGCTACCATACTACCAAATAAACTCGTTATAAATGGTAGCAGCAGTGGTCGCAGCAGTTGTGTTTGCCCAGAGAGAGGAAGGAAGAGGTATGAAGTCATCTTCACTTCATCATCCTATACAAGAAGCATCCGTCTCTCAACGAGTTATCCTGATGTCGTGTCTGCACGTTTGAGCATCCAGACACAGGTACAAGCAGGATCCAGCCGAAATTTGCCGAAATTCTCCGAGAATTGTAAGTGACCCCACGCTACAGCGTCCCACGCTGTTTCTCAAGTCACGTGTTCAGCGTCACTTGTATGTTGCTGTTGTTGTTCAGCTCAGCACAGCTGTTTCAGCAAGCCAGAGGTGAGTTTTGTGGCGATTTCTGCGTCCAGTGTGTTTCCCTGTGTTTGTGGGTGGGAGGAGGAGGAATGGCCAGATGCTCCCTCGCCATACACTCATCCACGCTCCTCGCCACCACACTACCATACACCACTCACCACTGCCCACTCCCTCTGCTGTGTTTTCTGCTGTTTTCCGTGTGAATTCATTGCCAGAACTGTGTATCCAAGTGCCCGAGGCCACTCGAAGCTACGTGGATCAGCATGCCACATAGATCATGACGCCACGTGGATCCCGATGCCACGTGGGTGTGGGCGATGTCACGTAGATCTACCAGCCACGTGAGTTACCAGATGTCTCAGGCCTCATGCTGTGGTCTGCTGCCCGCATCACATCGACGTCACCCACGATGCTGCCCGACTTCATGATGTCACGATGTCTGCCTGACATCACCTCGAGATGTCTGCTGACATCACAGTGCTGCTGACGTCACCTCGCAACATCACGCCTGACATCACATGATGTCACATCGAGTATTTCTAGTAATTATTTTTGTATTGTCGAGAAGATTGAGAGAAGATATATGTCGTGTGTTAATTAATTCCTCTCAGTCAGTGTTCTCACATTTTAGTATATGTCTTAGTGTCAGTTTTGTGCACAGAAAAGCATCATTTGCTAGTTTAAGCCATGTTGTACTGCATGTACCGCGGGTGTGTAAAGTTTCCGTGTGTCCAGTGAGGTCTCAGCCAGACCTGAGTAGCACCACTGTGTTAAGTCACCCGTGTGACCAGTGTGTTTGACAGCTGATGTCAAGACAGCCTCGAGTGACCGAGCCCTCTTGTACAGAAAGCTTTTATGCTCGTGATGTTCTGCAGAATCGTACCTGCTACGATTCCCATCGAGATTTGTTTCACTTCACCTCCAGACCTTCAGAATGCAGTTATATGTAGAGAAACAAGTCTGGGGACGCTTAGACTAACCTCTGCTATAACTCCAACTGTCGAGAGAATGACACGCTGTGTCAGCCTTGTGTCACAAGCTTCAGTGAGCAGCCTGCACAAAGATGTCGCTTTGACTGCTAGCTCTCTCACTGCAGTCTGGTGTATGATGTTACGACTCCCAGATGTTTCGCCCAGTCGTCTCTGCCACGACTCGCTCCACAACTCGCTCCACGCTCGCCGGCAGTGACAGCCCAGCGACAGTACCAGTCAAGAAGTGTCCTCCTTAGTCGCTTGCCAGAAGTCCTGCCCAGTTGCTGAGTTTTGTCGAAGCCTCACTCGTGGGCACCAGCATGTCGTGCCCCAGGTTGAGTGAAACCTGCAACGACTCCTACGATGACTGCTTCACCGTTCCAGAGGAGACAGTACCCTGTTACGTCACAGCTCAGCCGCAGCGATGTCTCCTGTGTTGCAGTATCTGTCCAGACGCAGGAAGGCGTGCAGTGATGCCCATCGACGCTCACTGCCTATGACCACGATGTTTAGCACACCCCACATGTTTTTTCTTCCCTCCCTGTAGGAAGTTTTTTTTCCATGTCCATATGTATATATATGTTTTTATTTTGTGTTCTGTGCCCTGTTCCTACGAGAGAGACCGAGTTCCTTTTACCACCAGTATCGTCGCGTCGGGACGACGCGCGGTAGGTGGCCGAGTGTATGTAGACAGCCTGTACTGTCTGCACAGACAGCCCATGCTGTCTGCCAGCTTAGTTCATATTTCGCGCCATGCTGGTGCTGCCACCTATAGGCGTTGCCACTTCAGCCTGCCTGCCCTTGCCTCACTCTCACTCACACAGCAGCCTAGCAGGAAGACACAAGGCCTAGTAGCTCCTCTTGTGGGATGGCCCTGCCCGGGCCATGGGCACAACACACAAGCCTGTGTACCCACCACTACATTAACAATAAACTAAGAAGCCTCCGAAGAAGTATATCATTCACACCCCGCTTTCAGCCCTACCAAATAATCTCGTTATATACAGTACAGGATACCATATGGTGCAGGGTACCATATGGTGCACAGTACCATATGATACAGGGTACCATATGGTGCAGAATACCATATGGTGCAGGATACCATAGGGTACAGGGTACCATATGGCACAGGACACCATATGGTACAGGATACCATGTGGTACAGTTACAGAGATCCCTATGGAAATAAGTCACCCTGACTTTTTTGGGTTATCCTAGGAGTTTGTACATATGCTGCTATGTATGATAATCTATGTAACTGTATTTGTGTACACCTGAATAAACTTTCTCAAGCAGATGTGGCATCTTAAGTTTATTTAGGTATACACAAATAAAGTAACATAGATTATCATACATTGCAGCATATGTTTGGAGAACCTAGGATAACTACAGAAAGCCAGACAGACTTATTTCCATTAGGGTCCCTGTACCCTGTACCATATGGTACAATGTACCATAAGGTATAATGTACCATATAGTACAATGTATTATATGGTACATTGTACCATATGGTGCCATTGTACCATATGATACCATTGTATGACATGGCACCATTGTACCATATGGTACATTGGTACCATATGGTTCAAAACTGTAGAATTCCTCTTCAGATCCACTTCCATCAGTCTTAGAACTGTAAGTTGTGAAGAGGAGAGTCAGAATTCGCCAGGAGAGTGAGTGGGGAGTGAGCTTCTTTGCCGTGAGGCATGATGAACAAAGCTACTTTGGCTTCGTTCCCACAATGCCATGCAGGCATCCAGATTTTTTCTATAGTGCGCACACTGACCACCCAGACCCATTCTCTCAGATGTAGGCCTACCAGCCTTCTTGCGCTAAATTTGACGCCGCTAGAATTTTGGTGTAAATCTACAGTTTGGACTCTAAACGTAAAGCCGTAGATCTACGAAAGGGTTAAAGATAGATTTACATGCACAAAAGAATGAACATTCAACATGACACTTACCTTTATTGAAGGCTGTTGTTGATGGATGGAAGACAGGGAGGAGTGGAGAGGGATGAGAGGTTATTGTTTGGAAGGGGAATCCCCCTCCATAATGACTCTAGGTACCAAGTCCACCCCTGGGGTCACTTCCCTCCTTTGTTTTTTAATGCCACTAGGACCAGCTTGAGAGTCACTGGACTCCTGTTGCACAAAATATCTGTCCAGTATAGGTCTGTTTCTGGTGTCTCTAAGATTTGCCTAAAATGGGATATGGCATTGTCATTGTAAAAGTCGCCAGCATGGATTGCAGCAGCTTTCTCAGGGTGATGTTCCTCCACAAATGAATGCACCCTAGTCCATATTCCACAAATCTTCTTAATCTCTGAAGAAGGCACCTTCTTCCATCTCTCTTCCTCCTCCTCTGAAGCAATTTCTTGAGCTGTGATCTGTTGCTGTTGCAGATGAAGCTCTTGCAGCACATCAGTGGTTAGCTCTTGATTGTGGTCCTCCACCAACTCTTCCACAGCCTGGCCACTCACATCCAACCCCATAGAATTCCCCAATGCCACAATTGATTGCAAAACAGGTGTAGGAGTGTAGGGTCGACAGGGTCAGCCTGAAACCCTTCAAAATCCTTCTTTTGGACACAATCTGTCCACAATTTTTCCCAAGCAGAGTTCATCATCCTGGAAGTCACTCCCTGCCAAGCTTTATCTATAAGGCTTATGCATTGGAAGATATTGAAGTGATTCTTTCAGAACTCTCTTAGGGTCAATTCAGAGTCCAAGGTTATGTCAAAGCACCTTTGAAACATTGCTTTGGTGTACAGGTTTTTGAAGTTTGCAATGATCTGCTGGTCCATGGGCTGGATGAGAGGAGTGGTATTAGGAGCAAGAACTTCACTGTTACAAAACTGAATTCCTTAGACAATTGGTCTTCCGAGTCTGGAGGATGAACAGGAGCATTGTCCATTAACAGGAGGCACTGGAGTGGCAATTTATTATCCAGGAGGTATTTCTTCACACTTGGGCCAAACACTTCATTGAACCATTCCAGGAAAATTTCCCTTGTGACCCATGACCTACTGTTAGCCTTCCACATCACGCACAATTTACTCTTGACAACACTGTTTTTCTTAAACACTGGGATTTTCAGAGTGATACACCAGTAAAGGCTTCACTTTGAAATCCCCACTAGCATTACCACACAACAAGAGAGTTAGCCTGTCTTTCATAGGCTTGTGTCCTGGAAGTGCCTTTTTCTCCTGCGTGATGTAGGTCCTCTTTGGCATTTTCTTCCAAAACAGGCCTGTTTCATCACAATTGAACACTTTTCGGCCTCTACAAAGTCTTTGAATTCCCACACGAATTTTTCAGCTGCATATTTGTCTGAACTGGCATCCTCACCATGCTTTACAACACTGTGTATGCCACTTCGCTTCTTGAACTTTTCGAACCAGCCTTTGCTGACCTTAAATTCACCATCATCAGCACTTAATTCAGTCAGTTTCTTTATGAAATCTTCATACAACTGCCTTGCCTTTTTCACAAATTATTGACTGTACAACGCTATCTCCTGCTAATTCTTTCTCTCTGATCCACACCAACAACGATATCTCCACTTCAAATTCAAATTCAAATTTATTCAGTTGTTTGTAATCTCTGTTTGGTTATTGCATTCACCCCTTTTGCAACATCAGCTTCCATGATTTCTTTTCTCTTTGCCACAATGGAGCTGATGGTTGATGGCGCCTTCCCATACATCCTGCCGAGTTCAGCAATGCGTATGCCACTATCATTTTTGAACGATATCTTTTTTCATTTATACGGTATTCCTCACTTTCTTTACCAAAGGACTGGCACTAGGAGCTTTCTTTGGGGCCATGGTGGCTCATTTAGGAGTCACACACAGTAAACAAGTGCCAAAAACAATGGATTATTATGAAATCTTTTGTATGACCTTGCAGGATATGTTGTCACCGAGAAACAACGTGACACTGCCTGAGAATGCGTGTGGGAGGCGGCTTTGTCTGCACGCTGGGCACTGGACAGGTTCCATACCATTGATGAAAATGGAGGAAATCGACGAAAATGGAACCAATATTTTGACAAAAAGTTGGCGAAAACGGAAATCGGCGATAACAGAGATTGATGAAAAGGGAGGGTCCACTGTATATGCTTGTACATGTATGTGTAGTGTGACCTAAGTGTAAGTAGAAGTAGCAAGACATACCTGAAATCTTGCATGTTTGTGAGACAGATAAAAGACACCAGCAATCCTACCATCATGTTAAACAAGTACAGGTACACAAGTACACTCACTTGGCAGGATGGTAGTACATACCTCCCTGGGCGGTTGCTGTTTACCCACCTACTACCTAGAAGACAAATGAGAGACCTATAATAAATTATTTAAAAATATATAAAATTATTTATACATTAGGAGATTGGTGATTCACTAGAAACTCATCCTATTTCATTCACACCAATATTCATCTCTCTAGGCTCTAGCAGGATTGGTCTCATTCTGCTGCATTCAATTTAGGCCTCTGCTCATATGTCATTACCTGTGACTAGTGCCCTCTAGTGATCCATGCAGTGCTCAAATCAATACACTGTACTTAACATCTAGTACAAAATTACCAAGAAGAGTAGTATTCTAAGAGGGCCACCAGGGCTCTTTCTTAGAAATGCATTCAGTGTAAGAAAATGTAAGAGCTGGACTAAAGGAGTTTTCATTTTATACTTACATGTTCAATGGTTATTATTATGAATATATATTCAGAGGAATAAAATTTTGTTTTTAATATGTAATCTAATGGCACTGTGGAAGGTAATAAATTTTCATCTAAACTGTTCAGCAACTTTGGAAAACTGTCATAATTTCAAATGTGCCCCATAATATCTTATCATATATAAGATATAGTACAAAATACCTTTGATAAGTATTACACTGGTATTGTATGGAAATTTAAAAATTATTCAGTATTCACATTGCACTAATAAATATTAAAATTATATATTTATCATCCTAAGTAGTTCTAGTAGTATAAAAGTTATTAAATTTAAGGTACGAGAAAATGATCCAGGCCTTAAAAAAACGTGAAAATGATGATGATGACTTTTCTATGGGTGAAGAAGATGACTTTTCACCTGACTACTTGACACACCGGCGGCCACCACCGGCGCCACGAACAAGAGGAGCGTCAGGACCAGGCAAACGAGGTATTAAAACATTTAACATGTATTTATGTGAAGCACAAAACCCATGATTATCTTAACAGTGTGAGTATTTGTAGTTTCAGGGCCAGAACTAAGCTTGTGGTGTCCAATCTTCAGTATTTTATCTATTATAAAGTTTTAAAAGCTTCTGTGGTTGTAACACTTGCTACCTCTTCTCAAAAAAATATTCCATTGATCTCCCATTTTGCAAAGAAAATCTTTTTAGTGACTGTGTTGGGTCATTCAGGGCAGGATTGATGAAGCTGAATCCTGCCACCTTTATTAATAACAAGACAAGCACACTGTTCTCTCATTATATGAAGCATGAAGATGCAGTCTTCTTGAGAGCAGTCACCATGGTTAATACAGCCTCTCCTCATTTAACAACGGAGTTCCGTTCCTGAGACCACGTCGTTAAATGAATTCATCGCTAAGTGAGGCCTTACTATAATGGTACTGAATTTGTGTCAATCATCTTTGATATTGTTTTAATATCACCTTTGCACCATTTATAACATTTCTGGTATATTTTTAAATGTTTATAAAATAGTGTGCTGTATATTGTAATAAACAGAATAGGGGAAATCAGCTCTAATATACATTATTTAGGTATGCATACTCCACAGAGAGCCTGTCGTAAGTCCGAGGCATCAGTAAACGAGTACGTTGCTAAGTGAGGAGGGGCTGTAATTATAGTCACATTTTTTATTGTCATTGTCATTTCTTTCCATTTCAACCATGTAATGCACTCTTAATTTTTTCATTGGCATGCCTTGTATTCTTCTGCAATGCAGATTACAGTACATTGCTTGTATTTTTTTATGATTGTGTTTTTTTTTTTTTTTTTTTTTTTTCAACAAGTCGGTCGTCTCCCACCGAGGCAGGGTGTTATATAATATAAAATTTATTTTGAAGGGCGCCCAAGGAAAGATCGGCCACCTCCAACAGAGATCAAAATGGAGCCAGACACTCGGCATCATATTCTAGGAGGAACAATAGATGACACTCACATTAGTGAAGCTGGAGCTGGTGACTTAGTTACCAGCGTCACTGAGGGAGATTTAACAGATGCAGACAAGCACAACTTGCTTATTACATTCCAAAGGCCAGAGACTGGAGAGATGGTGATCACTATGCTTCCACCACCACCTACAACACAGCATCACAATGAATTGCATGACCACACTACTACTGGTCAGTCACAAGTTGTTTTCACCTGTTTTTTTAGTCTCTTATATATTTAAAAATAAAAATTTGAAATAACCTTTGAACTTTCCTCTTAACTTCATTTGGCAGATGTGAATTAGTTCTTTCAGATTTATTTAAACTTAAACTTACTATGCCTCTTTACTGTTTGTATATTGAAGTGTTTTCTGATGTCTCTTTGTAATTACTTATTTGTAGATACAAGAATAGAGCTATGACTGAGTATACCTGGAGTATACCTGGGAGTATACCTAGAGAGGGTTTCAGGGGTCAATGCCCCTGCAGCCTGGTCTATGACCAGGCCTCATGGTGGATCAGGGCCTGATCAACCAGGCTGTTACTGTTGGCCGCATGCAACCCGACGTACAAACCACAACTTGGCTGGTCAGGTACTGACTTTAGGTGCCTGTCCAGTGCCTTATTGACGACAGCCAGGGGTCTATTGGTAATCCCCTTAATGTATGTTGGGAGGCAGTTGAACAGTCTTGGGCCCCTGACACTTGTTGTGTTGTTTCTTATCGTGCTAGTGGCGCCCCTGCTTTTCATTGGAAGGATGTTGCATCGTCTGCTGAGTCTTTTGCTTTCATAGAGAGTGATTTTCGTGTGCAAGTTTGGTACTAATCCTTTTAAGATTTTTCAAGTGTATATAAACATGTATCCCTCCTGCCTGCATTATAGGGAGTACAGGTTGAGGAACTTTAAGCGTTCCCAGTAATTGAGGTGTTTTATCACAGTTATGCGTGCAGTGAAGGTTCTCTGTACATTTTCTAGGTCAACAATTTCACCTGCCTTGAAAGATGCTGCTAGTGTGCAGCAATATTCCAGCCTATATAGAACAAGCACCCTGAAGAGTTTCATCATGGGCTTGGCATCCCTAGTTTTGAAGGTTCTCATTATCCATCCTGTCATTTTTCTAGCAGATGTGTTTGATAAAATGTTGTGGTCTTGAAGGTGAGATCCTCTGACATTATCACTCCCAGGTTTTTTATATTAGTTTTTTGCTCTATTGTGTAGTTGGAATTTGTTTCATACTCTGATACAGTTTTAATTTCCTCACATTTTCCATATCGGAGTAATTGAAATTTCTCATCATTGAAGTTCATATTGTTTTCTGCAGCCCATTTAAAGATTTGGTTGATATCTGCCTGGAGTCTTGCAGTGTCTTCAGTGGAGGACACTGTCATGCAGATTCAGGTGTCATCTGCAAAGGAAGACACGGTGCTGTGGCTTACATCCCTGTCTATGTCAGATATGAGGATGAGGATCTTTGCTGATTTTTTTATTATTAAAACTTTAAACCCTCCTGTGGTCCCTTAGATTCACTATCCAAAAGTTTTATTCTTAAACATATAAAATGTATTATTTGTATATTAAAACTGAAGTACAGTTGACAGCCATAGTGTACACAGTAGTTTTGTTCCTGATAATGGTGTGTAATCAAAAATGCATGTAAACTGAACTGAAGAATGTATGGAAAAGTAAGGTTACATTCATTAGACAGGGATCCAGCAGCTACATCTCTGCCAGCAGACAGAAGTGCCTTACAGTTCAGTTGTCCCACTGATTGCCACTGTATGGGTGTTATAAAGGAGTTAGTCGCCTGGATATACATGGGAGGGGGTTTGAGCAGTTGGGGTGAGGGGGGCTTAAATGTCAGAGTTGGGGATTGGGGAAACTGCTGTTGTGGGAGGTAGAAACTGAGCAGTGGAGGGATGGGGGCAGGAGCTGGAGGCTAATGTTGGGAGGTGAAGTATGCTGGGCAGTGGAGGGATGTAGCAGTGGAGGCTGTGTAAGTGGCAGCATCAGTGGCCTGGTGTGGATGGTGGTGGGAGACTGGGTAAGTGAGTGTGCAGTTGTTGGTGTGGTTGAGCAAGATGTGGGCATCAAGTCATGGGAAAATGGTATGGGTGAGGGAGTTGGGCTGGACAAAGTGTGATCTTGAGTTAGTTGGGAAACTGTGGCTGGGGCAGAATGGTATAGGTGTAGGTGTGTAGCTTTGGGAGTAATTGTGTGGGCAGGTTGTGAGTGGGGTTGCTGGTTGGGATGGTGTGGGTGAAGGCATGTGGTTGTGGGGGAAATTATAGGGCAGGTGGTATGGATGAGGGTTGTTGGGCAAAATGGGTGAAGTTGTTGGGTGTGTAGTGAGGGCATGTGGCTATAGGGGAGGAAGAGTTGTATGAGTAGGTGGTGTGGGTGTTGGTTGCTGGGTGGGGTGTGCAGCAAGGAATAGATGGAGGCAGGTGGTATGACAGAAGCATGTCACTAAGGTATGGTATTGGATGTGTATTAATGGAGCCCTGAGGTAAGGGAGGTTGTGTACATTAAGTAGGCCTCCCTGGTAAGACAGTGGACTCAACTTTAGTCTCATTGTAAGATGGAGGAGAAAGAACCTGGCATGTGCCATATTTTCCCACATGTTTACTCCACCATATTAACTGATTAATATGGCACATTCACCCAAAATATGCTGCAACATTGCAATCCTGTTAGAGCAAAGTGTTAAAAGATCACTTGTTAACCGGCAGAATGTTGTATTATAAATAGAATTTAATGAGTGGAAAACTCTAACCTAAAAGGATAGTATTTATATAATTTAATAAATGCAAGATTGGATATCAGATTGGAGGGAGAGAGTATGGAGGAGGTGAATGTATTCAGATATTTGGGAGTGGACGTGTCAGCGGATGGGTCTATGAAAGATGAGGTGAATCATAGAATTGATGAGGGGAAAAGGGTGAGTGGTGCACTTAGGAGTCTGTGGAGACAAAGAACTTTGTCCTTGTAGGCAAAGAGGGGAATGTATGAGAGTATAGTTTTACCAACGCTCTTATATGGGTGTGAAGCATGGGTGATGAATGTTGCAGCGAGGAGAAGGCTGGAGGCAGTGGAGATGTCATGTCTGAGGGCAATGTGTGGTGTGAATTAATGCAGAGAATTCGTAGTTTGGAAGTTAGGAGGAGGTGCAGGATTACCAAAACTGTTGTCCAGAGGGCTGAGGAAGGGTTGTTGAGGTGGTTCGGACATGTAGATAGTATGGAGCGAAACAAAGTGACTTCAAGAGTGTATCAGTCTGTAGTGGAAGGAAGGTGGGGTAGGGGTCGGCCTAGGAAAGGTTGGAGGGAGGGGGTAAAGGAGGTTTTGTATGCGAGGGGCTTGGACTTCCAGCAGGCATGCGTGAGCATGTTTGATAGGAGTGAATGGAGACAAATGGTTTTTAATACTTGACGTGCTGTTGGAGTGTGAGCAAAGTAACATTTATGAAGGGGTTCAGGGAAACCGGCAGGCCGGACTTGAGTCCTGGAGATGGGAAGTACAGTGCCTGCACTCTGAAGGAGGGGTGTTAATGTTGCAGTTTAAAAACTGTAGTGTAAAGCATCCTTCTGGCAAGACAGTGATGGAGTGAATGATGGTGAAAGTTTTTCTTTTTCGGGCCACCCTGCCTTGGTGGGAATCGGCCAGTGTGATAATAAAAAAAAATTAATAAATGCATGAATAAAACAGTTACACTAACAAGCAAACCCTCCCCTTTCCTCCCTCACCCTCCACCACTACTGTTCTAATGTACTCATTTCAATTTTTGCCTTGGTTTTATATCAAATAAAAATCCTCTAATATATTTTAAGTGTTCCACTCTTGAGTAAAATTCTTCACAGGTTTTATACTTCACATAAAGTAAATTAATATCAATTTTTGTTTTATTTAAAATTTGCAGAAGGTACACAGACAGAAGAGGACATTGATCTTCCAGCTGGTAAGGAAGTTTTTTTAGTTCTTTATTTAATAGTTCTCTTAATCATTATGTTATTGCTACAGAAGTAATTTAGAGTATTCCTACACAGATGTGAGGTAGGTTCAGAGTTTGTCTTTTGTTTAAGAAATTCAATTTTGTTTGTCATTAATAATTTTTTTAATTTATATGTCATGTTCTCAATATTTAGGTTATGTTAGCCTAATATCATTTAACCAAATTCAACCATTTATAACATGCGTAAACACTGATAAACGAAATACTTCGTAAGGGCCTGACTACGTATTGATGTTGACAGAAAATAAGAGCCACTATCAGTTGATGTAGTACTTTTTTTTTTCTTTACATACCCAGTAAGCTTTTGTATACAGTGTGATATTGTAACTTTTTTTTTCATCAAACCAGCCATATGCCACCAGGCAGGGTGACCTAAAAAGAAAAACGAAAGTTTTTCTTTTCAAATTTATTAAATGTATACAGGAGAAGGGGTTACTAGCCCCTTTCTCCCGGCATTTTAGTTGCCTCTTATGACATGTATGGCTTATGGAGGAAGAATTCTGCTCCACTTTCCCATAGAGATAAGCTGAAATAAACAAGAACAAGAACTAGTAAGAAAATAGAAGACAACCCAGAGGGGCTTGTGTATATATGCTTGTACATACATGTGTAGTGTGACCTAAGTGTAAGTAGAAGTAGCTAGGCATGCCTGAAACCTTGCATGTTTCTACTTTCTTTCAACAAATCGGCCATTTCCCATGGAGGTAGGGTGGCCCAAAAATTTTAGTAATGTGTACAGGAGAAGGGGTTACTAGCCTCTTGATCCCAGCATTTTAGTCGCCTCTTGCGACATGCATGGCTTATGGAGGAAGAATTCTGTTCCATTTCCCCATGGAGATAAGAGGAAATAAACAAGAACAAGAACTAGTAAGAAAATAGAAGAAAACCCAGAGGGGTGTGTGTATATATATGCTTGTACATGCATGTGCAGTGTGACCTAAGTGTAAGTAGAAGTAGCAAGACGTACCTGAAACCTTGCATGTTTATGAGACAGAAAAAAGACACCAGCAATCCTACCAGATATACTCTAGGTATAGGTATACTCTCCATCATGTAAAACAATTACAGGTTTCCATTTTACACTCACTTGGTAGGACGGTAGTACCTCCCTTGGCGGTTGCTGTCTACAACATACTACCTAGGATTTCTTGTAAATGTAATTGAAAAATTCATCCCAAATTGAATATAATGTGCTATGAAGGTCTTTCCACACACGCTTCACTTTGGGATAAACTTTTTCAGTGACATTTACAAGATATTACACCATACAGAAGAGCTTCATAAGAGAGCTTACTTTACTCACATAAGAAGGCCTTCAAAATTTAACCCTTTCAGGGTTTTCGACATACTAGTATGGCTTGCGCACCAGTGTTATTGACGCACTTGTATGACTAAATTCTAGCGCCTTCAAATCTAGCGAGAGAAAGCTGGTAGGCCTACATATGAAAGAATGGGTCTGTGTGGTCATTGTGCATACTATAGAAAAAATCCTGCAGCACACAGTGCGTAATGAGAAAAAAAACTGACCGTGTTTTTGGTTTAACCCCTTGACTGTCGCAACCCCCAATCCTGAGGTGTCTCCTGGTGTCGCAAAATTTAAAAAAAAAAAATAATTTTTTCCTATGAAATGATAGAGAATCTTTTCCCGATTGTAATGACACCAAAAAAACGAAATTTGATGGAAAACTGACGGATTTATGCTCTCGCGAAGTTAGTGACCTCGGCGTTGTTTACAAATCTGCGATTTTGCCCACTTTGAGCCCCATTTTCGGCTAATTCCGTTGTTCCAGTTGCCCAAACTCATAGCTATTTCTTTAGAACTCCATTTTTTCTATCGATTGAGTACAAGAAACTGCCCATTTATTGATATCGACTACCTAACAATGTGGTCAGAAATTTGCAATTTGGCCAATTTCACGAAAACTAAAAAATATGACAATTTCAAAATAAGGTCCAGAATGAACAATGCAGACATTCCTGGCTCTAAAATAACATTTTATTTTGTTCATCAGTCATGTCTCCAGGCCCCTCTGATATTACTCTTGCTTTCTATTTTGAATTTTTATTCAAACAAAAAATAGAAGACTTACTATTATGCAGACTACTGCAATACTGTAATAATTGTATAAATAACATCAACCCATTCATGACTGCATATTAGAATGGCTAGTTGGACATTTATTGGACAATGGCATCATTTGTTTGCTTTGGAACATTGGCAAAAATCAAACATTTCCCCTACTTTGAGCTCCATTTCTAGGTTCTTTTTATAGTAAAATCAATCAAAATCATCTCTATTTCTATAATGTTTTCCATTCTATCAAATGACACCAAGAAAACGAGAATACAACCATAAATACTATACGAAAATAGACCACAAAGTCGGCATTTTAATTAAAAAAAACGGTCGTAAGATGTATATATACGGCCGCGACAGTCAAAGGGTTAAAACAACGACTTTGCACTGTATTTTCGTATGGTATTTATGGTTGTATTCTAGTTTTCCTGGTCTCATTTTATAGAATGGAAGACATTTTACAGAAATTGAGATTATTTTGATTGGTTTCACACTGAAAAGTACCTTGAAATTGAGCTCAGAGTAGCAGAAATGTTCGATTTTTGCCGAAGTTCAAAAGTAAACAAATCATGCCATGTGTCCAATACACGTCAACTGGTGAGTCTAATATTCTTTCACAAGTGCGCTGATATTATTTATACCCTTTCTACACTAATGCAGTAGTCTGCATAACAATAAATCTTCTATTTTTTGTGAGAATAAAAATTCAAAGTGGAAAGCAAAAGAAATGTAAGAGGGGCCTGGGGACGTGACTAATGAACAGAGAAAATGTTATTTTAGTGCCAGGAATGTCTGTCTTGTTTATTCTAGACCCTGTTTGGAAATTGGCATCTTTTGAAATTTATGTGAAATTGGCAAAATTGCCAATTTCTGACCACTTTATTGGATAGTTTAAATGGGTGGTTTCTTGTATCATTCGATAAAAAAAAATGGAATTCTAGCAAAATAGTTATGATTTTTGTCGACTAGTACACTGGAATTGGCTGAAAATAGGGCTCAAAGTGGACAAAATCACCGATGCATAAACATCGCCGAGACCGCTAACTTTGCAAGAGCATAATTCCATAAATTTTTCATCAAATTTCATACTTTTGGTGTCATTATGATTGGGAAAAGATTCTCTGTCTTTTCATAAGAAAAAATAATTTTTTTTATTCCGAAAAATTTTCGACCCTGAGAACAAGTTTAGGAGAGGGCCTCTCGACCCTGAAAGGGTTAAGGTGCATAGAGAGGTAACCAGTGTATGCTCATGCATACAGAAAGTTTATCAGAGTATGCACATGTATAGAAAAAGTTTAGCAGATGTTGTTTAATCAAAGCATGTAAAATAATCAACTTGTGATTCTGGGGGCCTCACCTGTCCTACATTAGAATAGTTCATTGCTCTTGTGAGTGGGAGCTCAGCTGTACTACATTAGAACAGTGCATTGTTGTGACTGGTAGCTTGCAAATACAGGTGGGGGCCCAACATATACAGCAGATTAGGTTCCAGGCTAATACTGTAAAGTGAAACATAGCTTTTTTTCACTTTCAAATGCATATAAAAGCCTGATAACATGTTTACACTATCATATATTAATCCTTAAACGGTCCAGATGTAGATCTACGTTCACTCGCCCAGCCTGTGAATATTTTGAAAAAAAAAAAAAAAATTAAATTAAAGAGGGCCATTTTCTGTGTGTAATAAGACCAAAAAAAAAAAATTAGCACCAGTACTTACCGAGATAAAGGACCACGAAGTTGGTGCTGGATGCTCACCCGACAGCAACACTGAGTCCTGCCTCATGCAGAAGTGTTGCCGATATACCTTTTTTTCTTGTTTTTATTTTAATTTATATAATTTTTATGTTCTAATAATTACAATTTATAATAGTTCTTGTGATTTCATAGTCAGTCTTTGTTCTGACACTAATATTAGGTGCTGAAATAGTACTCATATAGTCACAATCACACTGACAGGTGAACATTTTTACCTACCTTAGTCACATACTATTGTCTAGAAATATATACGTAGTATTTATAGGTCAAAGCAGTGTTTTGGATACACAGGAGTATATAATAATAATAATAATAAGTTTCCTTTAACCCTTAACCCTTTCAGGGTCCAAGGTCAAAATATGAAGAGGTGCCCCAGTGTCCAAGGAATTTTGAAAAAAAAAAAAATTATTTTTTTCTTACAGAATTGAAGATATTTTTGTGAAGGTAATAAAACAAAAAAATTTTTTTTGATCAGTACTTACTGAGATACAGCGGTGGGAAGTTGACCCAAAATGACCGGGTGGCGGCAACATCAGCGACTTCCGCAAAATTGCATTTTTTTATTTTACGTTTTTCATACTTTTTTTCTTATCTAATTTTTTCTTTTTCTAGTAACATTTGTGGCCTGTGAGACCAATATAATGTATATTGTATAAGTGTACACTCGTATTTAACACTATAACTGCACTAATTTGTTTATCTATATATTGCTTACAAAGCTTGTTTACAAGTTTATTGTAAACAAAATGATGAAAATATTAATGTGGTTATTGTGTTGAATACAACAGTACCATATAGTACCATATGGTACAATGAACCATATGGTATCATTGTACTATATGGTACAATGTACCATCTGGTACCATTGCACCATATAGTACCATTGCACCATATGGTACCATTGTATCATATGGTACCATTGTACCAAATGGTGCCATTGTACCATATTCTACCATATGGTACCATTGTATCATATGGTACCATTGTATCATATGGTACCATTGTATCATGTGCCATTGTACCATATTGTACCATATGGTACAATTGTACTATATGGTACCATTGCACCCTATGGCACCATTGTACCATATGGTACTATATGGTACTGTTG